TGTCTACCTAGGCCTCCTGCCCCACAACCTCACGGCCCCACGGGTGTGCCACAGTCCTTCCCTCAGACCATGGCCGCCTGGTTCAAGCCCTCACATGCTACCGGCAAGGCAAACTTCATCTTCTGGCCAGAAACAGCCCCTCACTGTACCTGCTGCTGATTCCTGGGACCCAAATCCTACCTGGGCTTCAACACAGTCTCTCCCCACTGCGACCTCGGCCCGACCACACGTGGAAGAATCAATTCCACGTGGACTTCAGGTGGAGATGTGAAAGGTAAAGCTGCAAGTGCCAAGTGTCCTTCTGGTCTTTCTGGGGTTAAGAAGATATTTTTTTAATCCCTCCTAAGTGCTAACCCCCAAATAAAATATTGATAATTTTAAAATAGGTTTTTAATGATTTGGAGAGAGAGGAAGGGAGCGGTAGAGAGAGAGAGAAATATTGTGCCTCCTGCACGCCCTCTACTGGGAACCCCAAAACCCAGGCATGTGCCCTGGCATGGAATTGAACCGGTGACCTCTCAGTGTATGGGATGACACTCAACCATCTGAGCCACACTGGCCAGGGCTAAAAGACTGATAATTTCAAAATGTCTATTTATTTAAAAAATACCACAAATAGCTCTGGCCGGTTTGGCTCAGCGGTTAGAGCTTCGGCCTGCGGACCAGAGAGACCCGGGTTCAGTTCCTGCTAAGGACACGTACCTCACTTGCAGTTTGTCCCTGGCCCTGGTTTGGTCGTGCGGGTGGCAACCATTCGATGTGTCCCTTTCACATCTCTCTCTCTCTCTCTCTCTCTCTCTCCCTCCCTCTCTCCCTCCCTCCCTCCCTCCCACTCTATCTGAACAAAAAATGGAAAAATGTCCTCGGGTGAGGATAATAAATAAATAAATAAATAAAACCACAAATACTGTGAAAAGATGAGCCAAAGAGTGGGGAAAAAATCATTACAACTCAGATAACTGAAAAAGTACCACTAACCAATATGAAGCATTCCCACAAACACCGAATGACAGAAACTCTACAAGACAGGAGAGCCCAGCACATGAGCAGGCATTTCATAGAAGAGGCTACAATTTTGGTGAATAGACATACATAAGGAGATTCTTCACTTCATTCATAATCAGAGAAATGCAAATTTGAGCCACAATTAAATACCATTTTATACTCACTACATGGAGAAAATTAAGAAATCTATTAGTGTTAAGTGTTGGAGAGGCTGTGAGTCAACAGGACCACTTAGACACACTGGTAAGAGTGTAAATGGATTCAAATACCTGAGGAATGATGTGGGATCATGTGTTACGTTGCCCATGTACACACCTGGTCTAGAGATACTCTTGCAAGGTGTTCCAGGAACCATGAGTGAACAAGTTGAGGATGGACAGTAAGAAGCTAGGGAGCCCGGCCGGTGGGGCTCAGGGGTTGAGCACTGACCCAGGCACCAAGAGGTCGCTGGTTTGATTCCCGTCAGGGCACCTGCCCAGGTTGTGGGCCCGATACCCAGTGGGGGGCATGCAGGAGGCAGCCAATCGATGTTCTCTCTCATCGATGTTTCTGTCTCTCTCTCCCTCTCCCTTCCTCTCTCTCTAAAAATCAGTAAATAAAAAACATTTTTTAAAAAAAAGAAGCTATGGGAATCCCTTGACAAATGGAATAAGGGAAACTGAGACAAAATAATAACAGAAGTTCAAACATCTTGAGCAATTTATGGCCAGCTAATGAATCACAAGGTTTTATCTTCCCGAACCAAGGACACTTAGGAGCAAATAGTTTACACATTCCAGACCATCCCCAGGCAGACTGGCCTCGGTCCTGGTCCCTCTTCAATGACATTCTTTAAAAATGAAACTAACCAGAAAATAACCCTGCCCCCTGTACACACACATTTTGATGAATCAGCATATTGAAGGACATGCCTGGAAATATTCTGTTAAGAGCCCCCACACACACACCCTGGCCGGTTTGGCTCAGCGGTTAGAGCATCAGTCCGAGGACCAGAAAGGCCCTCTGCCACCACCCCCACCCCTGGCCAGTGTGGCTCAGTGGTTGAGTGTCAGCCCATGCACCAAGAGGTCATTGGTTCAATTCCCAGTCAGGGCACATGCCCAGGTTGTGGGCCAAATCCCCAGGGGGGGGGGGGGCAAGCAGGAAGTGGCCAATTGATGTTCTCTCTCATCGATGTTTCTATGTCTCTCTCCTTCTCCCTCTCTCTCTAAAATCAATAAAGAAAAAAATATTTTAAAGACCCTCCTCCGAGACCTCCCCTGGGATTCCTACCAGCTAAAGAAAGAAAAAAGCCTGAAGTCGAAGGACCCAGTGAATGCTGTCTCTGCGCCCACGACTTTCTCCCTTAGGTATCTCTGTTCTCTTTCTCCTAAATTTGAAGGGTTCTCACAAGTCTTGCAACCAGGGGAGCACTGGGCAACAGTGGTTCATCCCAGGCTTACCCCCTGAACCTGTCTCCAAGGCCCCCTTTTTCTCTGACTTTCCAGTGAGCTAACAGCAGCCCAACCTTGGCTCACTTGTGCCTGTGACTGTTACTTCTCACTGAGCTCACGCAGCCCAGTGTGGTCCACTGCTTTCTTCCAGCATTTCTAGAGGCCAAAGCAACCCCACCTAGGCTCTCTCTTGATACTTTTTCTATCCTAAGTCAAAAGTCTGAGCCAGCGGGAGATCACATCCACAACGCAAGGCCAGTGTAGAGCAAAATGGCTTTATTGCATGCACCTGGGTGCAGGCTGCAAAATGTTTTTGTTTTCTGGCTTTTATAGATACAAACTACAGAAACTAAAAAAACTACATTAAAACAAAAAAAAACAAACAAAAAAAACCCCACATTCTCTCGGCACTGCTTTTTGGTGCCAGGGCTGAACCAAGCTGTCTCAGAGGTAAGGAGGAGTCTGTTTCAGTGGAGGTCTGGGCCATTATTAATCTCTTTCTTTTTTATGGTCCCTCCGAGTTTCCCAAGGCCACCATTAACCCCTTATCTTCATGGTTCCTCTGGGTGTCAGTCCCAAGGTTTTCAGAAAACTGCTCGGGTGTTTATGTGCAGGAATAACTGGTCAGAATGGAGTTTAATTTTGTTAAGCATCATTAACCCTTTCACTAAGCCCTCCCTTTGTTTCACTGTCCCCAGCTTTAATAAATGTGCTCTCAAAATCACCGGGACTCATATTGTGAAATCTTTCCTGTAGGAAGTCAAGAGCCCACACACTACTGGCCGCCCGAGGCAGACCCACTTCGAGCCCGGGCTCCATCCAGTAACATTGTGAGAACACTTGGCAACAGCAAGAGCTCAGGAATAATCTGACAGGATAGCAGATGGGACATGGAGTCATGCGTTTAGAGTTCAGGCTTCAGAGAATATAAGTGCTCTAAAATCACTTTCAGAAATTCAAAATTAAGAAAAATTAAACAGCCCAGCCAGTGTGGCTCAGGGGTTGGGCATCAACCAATGCACCAGGAGGTCCCCAGTTCTATTCCCGGTCAGGGCATGTGCCCAGGTTGCAGGCTTAATTCCTAGTAGGGGGTGAGCAGGAGGCAGCCAGCTGATGTCTTCCTCATCACCAATGTTTCTATCTCTCTCTCCCTTTCCCTAAAATCAATTAAAAATATATTTAAAAAAATAAACAATATAAAAAATAGAAAGCTACAGAGAATATCAGAAGCAAAATTCAGGACTGTGGCTACCTCTGGAGGGAGGCAATTGGATGTTATAGAAGGCAGGTTGTAGTGTTTGGGTTAGCTTTGGGTTGCTTGCTGTTCATTATACCTTATACCTTTTTATACCTTATATTTACGTAAGAATACTTCACACATTCTTTTAGATGTATCAAATATGTCTTCTCTAGCGCCCTCTGGTGGGCACCACAGTGGCCAGCCCTCCCTCTGGGTCCACCAGCTCACAGAGGCATGACTGCCCCGTCCCTGGACCCCTCAGTTGCCAAGTCCCACCACCTCTGGTGTGCTGTGAAAAAAAACAGCATGAACGGAGCCACTTTAACATGGAGATAGATTCACCATCCCAGAGGAACTGCCTGGTACATCTTATGCCTCAAACCTTGGAAAGTGAAAACTGGGCAAAAAAGAACTTTAGACTAACCCCAAAGAAATGTTTGCAACATAAGAAGAAAGCAGATATGGTGACTACAGGAATGAAAACGGGAAACGTTGTTTAGAATTCGCATCGCTACGCCATGTCAGGTTATCTGCACCTGTAGCTGTGCCTTCCTGCTGTGGCTGTCCTTGTTCCTTCCCCTCTCCTAAATACCTCAGCGGAACACTCGTCGGGCTTCTGCCTGAACCAGTGCTTCCCAAATAGCTGTTTTTCTACCTCAAAGAAATGCTTTTGCCACTCACTTTGAAAGACCTTTTGTTTTCAGGGGTTTAACTGGCATTGTCTCTGGAGTCTTGGTGGGCTGCAGCCACCCTACAGAATTCAGGGGGGCTCTTTCTTCAAGCCAGAGTGGCTGACATTGCACACAGGTACAGTGTGGCTTGCTCCCAGGTCTTGCACAACAGCTCAGAGACGGAGGCGGAGCCCAGCGCCAGGCGAAAGAACACACACAGACCTCCCGTCCCTTTGAAGGGGGGACGTTTGTTACGGGCCAAGCCGACCCGCCCTTTGGACACTGTGCTGTTGTGTGTGCTCTGCTTTTGTTTTACTTGGAAAAAATGTTTGGCTTTTGTCAAGGTCTTTTTTTTTTTCTTTCCAAGAATGCATTAAACCTTATATACATGTCTGGGCCAGTTTCTATCTTGGGGTTCTCAACCCTTTTACCACACCAAAGAAGAGAACTTTTCCAGGAGAGATTTGTTAAATCAACTTTTCTGGGCATAGTTTCAACCCCGTCTCTACTCCACACCCTTTCCACTATCCGTAGCCTGGGGACCCTACGGCCCAGCATCTTCTGGGGGAAAAGGGCTCCATGAATCTTCCAAATGTGCCCCTCATGTAATCCGTGTTCTCTGCGTAACGCCTGGCTGAGCATGGATTTTACATGTCTAGCAACAGGAATCGAGATATCGCACAGCAGTTAACAGGTGAAGACGCAGTAAAGTGAGTGTTTCAAGGCAGATATTAATCAGGTGGTTATAAATAGCTAAAATTGATTTATGAGACAGGAGAAAATATCTGTGAACAAATTTAAAACCAATAGCCCAGCCAGTGTGGCTGAGTGGATTGACCGTTGTCCCACGGACTGAGAGGTCCTGGTTCCATTCCTGGTCAGGGCATATGCCTGTGTTGCGAGCTCAATCCCCAGTAGGAGTCATGCAGAAGGCAGTCGATCAATGTGAAACACATCGATGTTTCTATTTCTCTCTCCCTTCCTTTTTCTCTAAAAAGTCAATAAAAACATATTTTTAAAAAGTTTTTAAACCAATATTCTGAAACTAAAATTTCTGAGAGTCAGGGTGGAGTGGTATATTATGGAAAGTTATGCCTTATATTAATATTATATTGTATTACATTACATTATAATATAATCTACATGGATATATAGCTTTTTTATTAATTAATTAATTTATTTTTGTTACGGATGTTTCTCCTTTTCCCCCCACTGATTCACCCTCCCCCTCCCTCCCTGCCCTGTCCCCAGCTTTGTTGTCCATGTCCATTGTTCATGCATACATGCATATAAGTTCTGTGGTTTATCTCTCCCCCACCACCACCTCTTCTGGGGATTGTCAGTCTGTACCCCACTTCCCCATCTCTGGGACTACCCCATTCCTCACACTGTTATGTTCATTATATTCCACAAATAAGTGAGATCATATGATACTTGTCTTTCTCTGTTTGGCTTGTTTCGCTTAGGATAATACTTTCCAGGTCCCTCCATGTAGTCTCAAAGGATAAGAGAGCTTTCTTTCTTACAGCTGCATAGTACTCCATTGTGTATATGTACCACAGCTTTTTTATCCATTCGTCTACTGATGGACACTTGGGCTGTTTCCAGATCTTAGCTATTGTAAATAGTGCTGCTATGAACATGGGGGTACATATATTCTTTCTGACTGGTGTTTCAGGCTTCTTAGGGTATATTCCTAGAAGTGGGATCACTGGGTCAAATGGAAGATCAATTTTTAATTTTTTGAGGTAACACCATATTGTTTTCCATGGTGGCTGCACCAGTCTGCATTCCCTCCAGCAGTGCACTCGAGTCCCCTTTTCTCCACACCCTCGCCAACACTTGCTGTTTGATATAGTTTATTTTTTTTAACTATTAAATTAAAGTAGCATACCTGAAAATATCTATTTCACACACACACAGTAATAGAGGAATAAAGGACCAAAAAGACATACAGAACTAACGGCCATTGAATAAAATGCAAGACAAAAGGCCTTGCTACACCACTCTTCCCTGTAACATTTTAAATCATCAGCCTGCTCCCTGCTGGGGTCCATGGTACTTTCTCTTTTCTCTCATGGCTTCAGTGTCCCTAGGGCCCAAGCACAACCTCATGGCTCTGTCCTCCCAACTCCCGGACGGTGCTCCCTGGGCCCTCCCACCCCTCGCTAGCCCGACCCGGCTGATCCCGTGAAAACCACGGTTTGGGCGATGCGTCTCCCAGGCTCCCCCCGCGGCCAAGCCTCTGCCCAGCGTCCCCGCTGAGCAAAGTCCCGCAAGAACCTGAAGCTCAGACCAAAGCACCCGCACCCAGGACCCCCAGCTCGGCCCTCATCTTGTGTTCGGCTTGGTGCCCGCCGCCCTGAGCCCCGCGCCCGCCCTCCCTGCGCCCCGCCGCTGGTCTGCGCGCTGGGGAGCTGCGACCCTCCCTTCGCCGGCGCGAGGGTTCCGCGGCGTGAGGATGAAAGCCGACGGCCGCGCAGGAACCCGCGGGAGAGAGGAGGCGGGCGTGGTTTCACGTCCCTTGGGGAAAGAAACGACAGTGGATTGCGGGTGTGCACCGAGACACTCGGGAGAGGAGAGCGAGACAGGGCCGGGCAGCCGCGGGCCGAGAGGCAGGGTCCCCGGAGCTGAGCCCCCAGCCCGCGCGCGTGGCGTCCCGGGTGCGCGGCGCGGGCGCGGCTCCTGCTGCCCCCTGGCGTCCGGTCTGGGTGTGGCAGCGACTCCGCGGTCCCTCGCCCTTAGGATTGTTTTCGATCATGGCTACACCTGAAGGACACCGGCGTGTTCCCTGACCACCCTCCGTGACCTTGGGGTGGGGACGCAGGGCAACGAGGTCCGGATCCAGAGGGGGTTCCGCTTCCTGCTGGAAGCCCCCAGGAAGACCGAGGGGGCCTGTGGGTGCCTGGCAGGACCACCCTGCAGCCTGGCCAGGGCCCCGGGCCACCGGACAGCCCGAAGCAGCTGGTTGTTCATCCGCCAACATCATTTCACACCTCGGGGTCCTCTCTGCGTCGCAGGGGCAGCAACGGTGCTGATCTGTTACCCCTGGATCACTGAAAAGTAAACCCAAATAAGTTCCAGCATCCTTGTCTTTTGTGAGACGGAGTGGCCCCGGGTTCCCTTGTTCCCCCGGCCAGCCCTTCGACCCCACCTTCCTCCTGGGCTGCGCTCCCTGCGACGTCGTCGCCGACATCCCCTTCCGCAAGCACTTTGACTACAACGACAGGACAAGCCTGAGGATGCAGACCTTGTTTGATGAGAACTTCTACCTGCTCAGCACTTCTGGCTGCAGGTGAATCCGATCCTCCCGCCCCTTCACCGGGCGGCGTCATCTTCAGCTGCAGCAATTACAGTAGGAACAGGAGACGGGATATTCCGGGGGGTGGACAGCCGGGCCTGTTCTGAATGTTCCTTCTGGAGGCGTCCAGGGCCCAATGTCCCTCTGCTAACCTCCAGACACTGACCGTTTCCTTCTTGAAAGTGAGTCCCCACTGGACCATGGCATGTGCTGTGCTCACATGCCCCATAGAATGTGCACTGCCTAATAGAGGGGTGCCCCCAAATACTGTGGGCCCACATGCTGCACGGAATACATTAGTGACCGCCATAAATTTAGGTTTGGAGAAACGTATTAGTCCAGTACATAAAATTATGTTGCACCCAGGAAAAAATATGTCTATACAGTAAGAAATTGTCTCTTTCTTTCTAGTTTTATAACAGTTTTTCAAGCTATCTAAAATACCTGCCCGGAAGCCATAGAAAACTGATGAGAAATGTGTCTGAAATAGAAGACTCTGCTTTAGAAAGAGTGAGGGAGCACCAGCAGTCATTGGAGCCCACCTGCCCCGAGACTTCATCGACTGCCTGCTCATAGAAATGGAGAAGGTGTCCTGAGATGACTGCGTGTGGGGGGCGGGCTTCCAGATTTATACTATCACCTGCATTGCTGGTGCTCGGACTGCCCACACTGCCCGTTCTGATGCTTTTGGTTTTATGCAAACACACTGGCGTCAGCATGACCATCACACGCTGCTCCCACACGTGTTGAGACACAGCCAGCCCACCTGGCTGCCTTCAACACCACATCACTGTCCCCCGTGGTCTTTCTTGGGGAAACTGTCAGGGGCTGTGGAATACACTTTGGGACCCCTCACATTGGCTCCCTCAGGCCATGCTTCTTCTTCTTAATCCTCACCCAAGGATATTTTCCCATTTATCTTCAGATAGAGTGGGAGGGAGAGAGAGAGAGAGAGAGAGGCAGTGATGTGAGAGGGACACATCGATTGGTTGCCTCCCGCACCACCTCGACCAGGGCTGGGGACAGAACTGCAACCGAGGTACGTGCCCTTGACCAAAGCCACACGTGCTTCTCAATCATGACCGTCTCACCCGGGGAGAGGCCCTCAGCATTCCTCGTCAGCATGTGAACTCCTACTTGTGTATGACTTCAAGGGGTTCCAGGCCTACCCAGCATCCACCTGACAGCCTCTTAGGACCCCCAGCCCAGATGGGTCACACTTCACCCCTTTCCTCTGATGCCCTTGTGGCTCCAGACAGTATATACTTCCCTGGGTAACAGCCCCAGGCTATCTGAGAACCTCCTCCCTCATCTGGACTCCTCCGTGCCTTTCCAGGTGTCCGGCTTCCCAGTAACTTCCCTGCCTCCTGGGACCTAACGGTGCTGGGTTGTAGCAGAGGCCCCATAGCTCAGTCCTAGGCTGCAGGAGGTCATGGTGCAGGACCAGGAAGACACTCGCCCCCTAGGACAGCCCTCGGTGCTGCAGAAAGAGCACAGAGCCCCAAGGCCTGGGCAAGGGATACCATCCCACAACCTTTTGGGGGCTCGGTTTCCCTAACTGTGCAATGGAGATGATTGTGTCTCCACAGGAACGCTTTGTGCACACCTGCCCCTTCCTCTCTGTGGAGCTAGCAGGGCTGTGGCTTCTCTGCTGCTGAGGGACACAAGGGTCTCTTTCTCGTTCACCTGAAGGTGTCCCCTCACCAAGTCCCTGTCTGTCTCTAACATCTACGGGGAAAAAACAGCGCAGAGCCGGGGTACACCTTGGAGAGCATTGCCGTGACTGTGGCTGACCTGTTCTTTGCAGGGACAGTGACCACCAGCACCACTCTGAGATACGGGCTCCTGATTCTCATGAAGTACCCGGAGGTTGAAGGTATGGCAACTAACAAGCAAGGAGCCGGACTGTGTGGCTCTCTGTCCTGGACAGTCAGCCTACAGCATTATGCTTCAGCTTTCTGTCTGCAAGTGGCATTTCTTGTTAACCCGTGCAGGACTGACGCTTATGACCCGTCCCGCAGGTCGAGCAACGAGGACTCTAGAGGGGGAGTGAGGATGAGGAGGGACAAGAGACACGAGAAATGAAGACAAAACAGGATTCTGATCAAGTCTCGTTTATTCAGGGGGAGTTCACATAATATATAGGGGGAAAACAGGTGAAACAGTTAATGAGTGTCCCACCTGAAGCAAATTCCAGTAAATACCCCAGGTGGAACAAATGATAAGCAAAGAATGGAGTAAACAATTACCTAGAGGAATGCAGACACTATGCAGAGAGACCCCGCCCTGGGGCGGGAGACGGCAGAGCAGACTGCAACAGAATGGATGCCATGCAGATGGTCTCCCACACACTTAGAGTCGCCAAATTCTTTGAGGGGAAGTGTCCTTGTGCATGACAGCCACCTGGCACTCTTGAACACCAGTCCACCCATACCCCACAGATACCCCTGATTGCAGGAAAGCCCAGCACCAGAGTGGGAAAATGCAATGCCATCTGCAGTCTGCTCCGTAGTAGAACCTGTTTAGGACACAAGGTAATGTCTGCATTGCCCCTGAGTAAGACCAGGCCTTCTAGGTGGAGCAGGGAGGGAGGGCGAGGCAGAGGCGAGGCCCTTCCGGAATATCTTACCAGAAAGAATGAGGATCAGAAGAAGAAAGCCGCAGGGAGAAGCTTTCCAAGGTTGCCTGCTGCCCTGGAGTCCCTTCCCTCCTTCCTAGGGGTTCCCCCCAGCACCTGGGCCAGGTGGGACTCGGGTGCCCTGGAGGAGAAGACATGGCTTCCGGGGCCACACCATGGAAGGTTGTGCACTAGAAGTACCCACACGGGCCAAGGAGAGGTCATGTAAGGGGCACCAATATGTTAACAGGCCAATCGGCGCCAACCTCCACGGGGGAGGAAGGGACTGCCACTTGGGGTGAGGGCGATCTCAGTGGCCAGTGCTCAGGCCTGGAGCCTGACCTTGCATTGGGCTGGGCACAGAGCTGGGGAAGGCTTGTTCCGAGGGGCTCCTCACCACCCCCAGCCATACTCGCTGCTGCTGTTAATCATTTGGCTCCTGCCACGTGCCAGGCATGGGAACAAGCCCTTTAAGACACTGTATTCTTGAGGGTAGATATGGGATACGTAGTAATTTCCCCAGGGACATGGACACATGCGCTGTCCAGGATCAGACCTGGTCCGTCCGACTCCAAAGGCTTTGCGTCTTCTAACAGAAAGATGACAAAGGAGCCTGAAGTCCGTGGAGCAAAGCCCTCCACGGGCCTGTTCTAAGGGAACTTCTGACCACTCTGTACCAGGGGAACCATAGACTCACAAATGTTTTACATTATGAGAACTTTTTAATATAAAGAAGAAGACAGGAAATAAACAACTGGCACCCATACATCCATTGCCAAATTCAACATAGATTAACACTATGCAGTACATACTTCAGAGCTCTTGAAAAGGAAATAAGTTCAGAGCCAGCTGAAGCCCTTCCTCCTGCCCCCCCCCCCCGAACTGCTGTGTGTTACCCCTGACCCCTGAGCACGGCTTCATACATTTAACATTTATTAAGTATCAGCATACAATCCATATTGCTTTATGTGTTTTACATGGATACCATACCGTACATAACTTTGCAGTTCACGCTACATATTATAAAGGCCCACAGGAAACCTCAAACCCACAGAGGCCGAGCAACTTGCCAAAGGTCGCCGTTACCTCTGCCAGAAAGATGGGGACTTCCAGACTCCTGCTTCCTAGAAGTTCTCAAAGCGGTAGACGTGCATGTTTGTTTTCATTCTCCCACTCACCTTCATACTTCTTAGAAGCATGAAGTAAAGCAGCCTGGGGTAGTCATTAATACAGAGCATTCTCTCCTAATAGACCCTTTTGTTATTCTCTATTCCCGGCATAAAGACAAGAACTGAATTAGTCATGATCAGCTGAGATCATGAAGGCCAACAAGGAACTGAGTGGTGGTGGTTGAGTCTGCAGCCTCAGTCCCTCTGCCATGGAGGTGCCCATGCCCTTGGCCCCTAACCTGTGACCACGGTGGTGCCTTCAAACCTGACAGCCCTGGACGTAGCAGAGATGCTCGTGACCCTGGCAGCAATGCCCACATCCACAGTGACACTGGCGGCAGTAAGGTACCAGCAACTTCAGAGGCATTAAGAATCAGCAAGGCACCAGCTACACCTCTGGCAGAGGCAATGGAGGGTGGACAGTGCCTGTTCTCAAACAACCAAAAGCAACTCACGTACGAGAAACCCAAAGCTTGTGCTGTAGCACCACCTACTGGAAAACAAAGGAAAGCCTCTCATTACCAACCTATTGCGCTCTGAGAATCAAAGTAAACGCCTTACCTAAGTGAGGTAAGTGCTACTCCAAATGCATTGGCAGAGGAACAACTCATCAAGCACCATGAAAAATCACAGTAACGTGGCATTACAAAAAGAAAATGACAATTCTCCAGAAACCAAACTTGAAGACACAGATTGTGATCTAACTGATAGCAAATTCAAAATAGCTGCCATGAAGAAACTCAACGAGCTACAAGAAAATTCAGAAAGACCTTTTAATGCACTCGGGAATAAAATTAATGAACAGCAACAGCACTTTACCAAAGAGACTAAAACTCTCACAAAGAGCCAAACAAAAATCCTGAAGCTGAAGAACTCAATAAATGAGATAAAAACTGCATCCGAAAGCGCTGGAAATAGAGCCAACCACATGGGAGAGAAGACAGAAATCTAGAAATAATCACGTGGAAGAGGAGAGTGACCTAAGATTTTTCAAAATGAGGAAAATCTAAGAGAACTATCTGACTCCATTTTTCAAGAAGGCAACATAGGATAGTGGGTATCCCAGAATAAGAAGAGGGTGAAAAGGGAACAGATAACATATTTAAAGAAATAATGGCCCGGCCGGTGTGGCTCAGTGGATTGAGCATCCTCCCATGGATTGAGAGATCCCGGTTCTATTCCCAGTCAGGGCATATGCCTGGATTGTGGGCTTGATCCCCAGCAGGGGACGTGCAGGAGGCAGCTGATTGATGTTTCTATCTCTCTCTGAAAAATCAATTTAAAAAAGAAAAGAAAAAGAAATAATAGCTGAGAACTTCCCAAACCTAGGGAAGGATCTGGACATACGAGTATTGGAAGCTAATACAACTAATTACCTCAACACAAAAAGACCTTCTCCTTAAAGCTGTCAAAAGTTAATGATATAGAAAGAATTTTAAAGGCAGCCAGGGGGAAAATGATAGAAACCTACAAAGTTACCCCCATCAGGCTATCTGCAGATTTCTCAGCAGAACTCTATAGGCCAGGAGAGAGTAAAATGACATATTAAATATTGAAAAATAAAAACTGCCTGCCAGCAAGATTCTATCCAGCAAAGTTATTCTTCAAATATCAAGGAGAAATAAAGGCCTTCCCGGACAAACAGAAGAGAGGGAGTTCACCAGACTTGCACTGTAAGAAATGTTGCAAGGAGCTCTTCTGCCCGGCTGGTGTGGCGCAGTGGTTGAGTGTCGATCCCTGCACCAAGAGGTCGTTGGTTCAATTCCCTGTCAGGGCACATGCCCAGGCTGTGGGCCCCATCTCCAGTGGGGGCATGCGGGAGGCAGCCAACTGATGTTCTCTCTCATCAATGTTTCTATCCTCTCTCCCTCTCCCTTCCTCTCTCTCTAAAATCAATAAAGAAAAAAAAATGTTAAAGAAAGGAGCTCTTCTACCTGAAACGAAAAGGTGAAACTACACAAAACTTCGAATAAGATGATAAAGAGACAGACAGAATCAGAAAACTGCAAAACTATTTCAGAATAGGGTGTTTAACACTAAATTACAGCACAAATGTTAAAGGGGGAAGCATTAAAAAGAACTATAACTATTCTAATTTGGTAACAAACTCAACACATAAAACGGGATAGTTTTGGCAACAAAAACATAAAAGGGGAGGTGGAAAAGGACGAGACCTATGTAGGTAAATAGTGTTAGGAAAACTGGACAGCCACATGCAAAAGAATGAAACTAGACCACTACATTACACCATACACAAAAAGTAACTCAAAGCGGATTGAAGATGTGAACGTAAGACCTGAAAACATAAAATATGCAGAAGAAAACATGTGCTAAGCTCTTTGATATCAGTCTAAGTGATGTTTTTATGGATTTGACTCCAACGGCAAGGGAAACAAAAATGAATAAACAAATAGGATGTCAAACTACAAAGCTTCTGCAGAGTACAGGAAACCATCAATTAAATGAAAGGTAACCTACAGAATGGGAAAAGATATTTCCAAGTCATTTATGTGATAAGGAGTTAATATCCCACGGGTTAGGGGGTTAATTGTATGGTGAGGGGTGGTGGTAGACGTTGGGTGATGAGCACAATGTAGTACATACAAATGTTAAATTATAATGTTGTACACCTGAAACTTATATAATGCTATAACCCAGTGATACCTCAATAAAAAATAAAAAAGATAATGGATGCCAAAACATGCAACAGACTATAACCTGACGAGCTTAGCTGTCCCTGACATTTGTGGAGTTGTGCAATAATCCAGGATTCCTGAAGCACTCCAGAAACACCGACTGAGTGGATGGATGGCTGTCTAGATGTTGAGCCAGCCTAGAGTCAATACTTTGCACCTTTCCATTCATATCTTGGCAGCGAAACTTCATGAAGAAATTGACAGGGTGATTGGGCCAAGCCGAATCGCTGCCATCAAGGACAGGCTAGAAATGCCCTACATGGATGCTGTGATGCATGAGATTCTGCGGCTCATCAGCCTCGTGCCCTCCAACGTGCTTCATGAAGCAACTCAGGACACAGTGTTCAGAGGCTGTGTCATCCCCAAGGTCAGGTGTGAGCTGAACTGCACACCCCAAATACCATCCCACCAGCTCAGCCACTATCCTGCCCAGGGACAGGATGGAGGGCCCAAGGACACCTCCTTCCAGCAGGTGTGGCTAGGCCACGCCCACACCCTGCAGAGTGTCACTTCCCCAGCAGTCCTCACGTGGACATGGTGACTGCAGAAATGGGGGAAATATGGAAAACGGACTCCTGAGACAGTCCCTGGGGTTGGTGGCATATTCTAACACCAGAAAACAAACAACAGTGGTAACACCCAGCCCTTAACTCCTCCGAAAAGCTTAGAGCTCTCACTGCTGCTTAAACCTGACCTGAGTGCTTTCTGTCTAGTCCTCAAGCAAACAATTCCCCGACTGAAAACATCTCGTTTATAAGGTAGAGTTCAAAACACCCTTCTTGCCCTGGCCGGTTTGGCTCAGCGGTTAGAGCGTCGGCCTGTGGTCCGGAGAGACTCGGGTTCGGTTCCCGCTAAGGGCACGTACCTCGGTTGCAGTTTGTCCCCGGCCCTGGTCGGTCGTGCGGTGGCAGCCACTCGATGTGTTCCTTTCGCATCGATGTTTCTCTCTCTCTCTCTCTCTCTCTCTCTCTCTCTCTCTCTCTCTCTCTCTCGGTTCCTCTCTCTCCCTCCCACTCTACCTGAACAAAAAAATGAGAAAATGTCCTTGGGTGAGGATAAAAAAAAACAACAAAAAAACCCTTCTTCACTGGAGGCTTCCAGATCAAAGCACATTTTGCTAACTTGACTAAGAAATCCTTTATTCTTCCAGGGCAGAGCCATCATTCCAACACTGGGCTCCCTCTTGAATGACAAACAGGAATTCCCTGATCCAGAGAAGGTTAAGCCAGAGCATTTTCTGAATGAACAAGGGAAGTTCAAGTACAGTGACTATGTCAAGGCATTTTCCACAGGTAAGAAGAGTTCAGCTGTAGCCCTCCCCAAGGATGTGTCCCGAATTCCTTCCCTCTGCTCCACATGTAATCTGCCATCATCCCAGACCTGCAATGTGTTCCTTATTTCTATTCACAGTGTCACCCAAATATGCTCCTCCTTGTTCAGAGAGGTTAATGACATCTTTCACCAGAAGTCCTGGGAATGAGGTGTTGTGGATGAATTATTTTTCCATACAGTAGACCTTTCACGTCATTCAGTGCTAAAACTCTTTATCTAATAGGACTTAGTGGAAAAAAATCTTTCAAAACTGTATTACCTAATTTTTTATAGAATTACTAAACAAAATATAACATTTGGTTAGCTGGACTCATCATGGGGCCATCTGGCCTTTCCTGGGCTGTCACCTCATGGCCCTGGGTCTCCTTCCCAGGGCCTTCTCCCGGATGTTGGTGTGAAGGAAGGTCATATAACCAGCTCGGTAACTTTGCACTTGATGTTATAGCATTGGCTTCTTTCCTATAGGACATGGAGGTGAGCATGGGGTGGGGAGAGACCCTACCCCAACCTACCATTGCTTCAGGCAGCTGACTCCTGGTGTTTGAGTCGTGTGAAGGCAGATCCCTGAATATGTCTCACTGATACTCTTACCCTGAAATCCATTCTGTGCTTCTTTTCAGTGGGCAGAGAGGGGTCCACCCTGCTTTAGGATGGCAGCGTACCCCAGCCTTCTCCCACTGGGCTCTTGCCTGTGTCTCAGGTGTACTCTTGTCTCTCCAGGAAAGCAGGTGTGTGTTGGAGAAGGCCTGGCTCGCATGGAGTTGTTTCTGTTCTTCACCACCATTTTGCAGCACTTTAGCTTGAAGTCTCCCGTTGACCCCAAGGATATTGACCTCAGCCCCTGTGAATGGGTTTGCCAGCATCCCACCCCATTACAAACTCTGCGTCCTCCCCCGCTCGCAAGTGTGAGGCATGTGCACTCTGAAGATGGTAAAGGGGCATGATGGAAGCCACTTTCTGCTGTTCAGTGTGAGGGGGAGGGGCGAGAGATGCAGAGCTTCCAGGCACTGCGCATGCACTGTCCTCAATAAAACAAGTCATGATTCAAAGCCAGCAGCTGTAGCATCTGCCCCTCTCTGTGTCAGACCGCCTGCCTTCCTCTTGCGAGGATCCTCCCAGAGAGCCCAGGACAGTCTCCCGGTCTCAGCACCCTTCACTACATATTCAGAGGCCCTTTGTTGTGTAAGGGAACACAGTCCAAGTTCTGGGATTAGGATAAGGGTGCCATTGGACCCATTGTACTGCCATCTCACCCACCATGGGGCACGACCAGAAGCCAAATTTGACAAACTGGCAAATCAGTAAACTGAAGAAGCCTAGTTGCCCCGTTCTGAAAGGAGCCTGTTGGTCTCATCACATCTACACAGTAGTACACTGCTTCCAGCAGAAAAAGACAAGAAAATGTTGCTTCATTTGCTTTGAGGACTTCAACTGGAGAGAATACCTTAGGAAAGTGCTAGAGTGCTCAAAAGTGATGGAAGAAGTTGGGGGAGAGAGTGGGGACCTTTTGAACATAAACATTTAACTGATCCGGGCAATGGCATCTGGCTGTTATCAAGTCTTAGGTTGGCCTCGTCAGCACACTTCAAAACTGTTTATGTAGTGGTTTCCCAGGGCTCAGCTATTACGGTCCTGCTATCTCCTTAAGGGTGAGCGCTGCCAGGAGGTAATATTACCTTGGAAATCAGTCCTGGTCTAAGAAATGAACCACATTTGGCCAAATGGGAAAACAGGGGTCAGTAGGAGAGGGGTGGACAAAGAAAGGGGAAGAAATAGCTTAGTTCCGACTGCTATGACAAATTACCATAGTCTGGTGGCTTATCAACAACTGAAATGTGTTTCTTACTAAATGGAGGCTGGAAGTCTGAGATCGGGATGCCAGCGTGGTGTGGCTGTGCTGAGAGCCCTGTTTCAGGTGGCAGATGGCTGACTTCTCGTATCCTCACGTGGTAGAAACAGCTAGCGAGCTCTCTTGGCCTTTTCTTGTCAGGGCAGTAATCTCATTAATGAGGAGCCTACCCTCATGAACTAATGACCTCCCAATGGCCCCACCTCTTGATATAATCACATTGGGATTAGGGTTTCAACATATAAATTTTGGGGGAACACCCCTAGCTTCCCAGAATTCATGTCCTCACATGCAAAATACATTTATCTTAATCTCAACAGGCCCAAAAGTCTTAATTTGTTGCATGTCAACTCTTAAGTCTAAAGTCCAAAGTCTCATCTAAATATCATTTCAATAAAGCAGGGGTGAGACGAGGTAGCATTCATCCTCAGGAAACAACCAACACTCTGCAGTGTGCTGTGTTGCCAGTGTCCTTTGGATATTGTGGTGTTTTTGCATCCTTTGCACTTACATATCCATTTTATATTTGGCCTGTGTATTTACATGAGAGACCCGCAAAATTTTTATTGAAATTGCAATAGATTCATGTACCACCGTGGGCAGAAATGGCATCTTTGAGTTTCCAACTCACGAATATGATCTATCTCCATTTATGTAGGTCTTTCAAAATTTCTGTGAACTGTCTAGTTTTGGGAGCGAGATCATGTACACTTGTCATTACATTAATTCCTAGATGCATGGCATTGCTATTGTAAATATCTTTTTTTTTTTTTTTATTTCATTTTGCTACTTGTTGCTGCTTAATTCTAGCATGGCTGCAAGTAGCTGAGCTGTTTTGCTGGAGCAAGATGTGTACCTGCTGGGCACAGACCTCTGACCAAGGCATGAAATGTACTGAATAATAGTGTGAGCTGAGTTTGGGTGTAGTTTGTCATCTTTGTCATCTTGTCATGTCATCACTGTTTACTGATAGACATGAATACATGATTGACCAGGTTCTCACCTAGTCTTGGTGAGAACACAGGAGGGCTCTTATATGGCAACATCATGGCTCCCTGGTGCTCAGGTGTTCTGTGCACACATGGCTGGCTCCAGACAAGAGCAAGTGTGATGAGCAAACCCAGCAGAGGAAAGCTGGAGTCTGTGCCCCGTCTCTCTCAAGACGTTGCTGTTAGCAGCCTTTGGCTTAAATTCTTATCCTTACCTGATGCATAGCCGTACTTTAATGCTATTGTTATATTGTACCATTTTCTTGCAATAAATAGGTTCAATGGCATTGTTGTGGGTCCTGTGCCCTGATATATACACATCAATTAGATTTTCTAAACTACTGACTCTAGCCCAGCCAATGTGGCTCAGTGGTTGAGCGTCAACCCATGCACCAAGAGGTCGCCAGTTTGATTCCCAGTCAGGGCACATGCCCAGGTTGTGGGCCAGATCCCCAGTGGGGGGCATGCAGGAAGTGGGCAATGGAGGTTCTCTCTCATCAATGTTTCTAGCTTTCTCTCCCTTCCTCTCCCTCTAGAATCAATAAAGAAAAAAAAATTTAAAAATATTGACTCTATTTAGCAAACTTTTATATACATTTATCCATTCTGTAATTTATCTGTAGATTCATTTCTAAAGAACATTAGCATAAATTCTTATGCCTTTTCTTTCCTGTTTCATTGACTAGAACTTCTAGTAGGTGAAAAGTATTTGAATATACTTGAAATGATTTATTTATTTTATTGATTTTGAGAGAGGAAGGGAGAGAGTTAGAAACATCGATGAGAAAGAACATTAATTGGCCACCTCCTGCACACCCCCCATTGGGGACTGGACCCAAAACCTGAGCATGTGTCCTGACCAGGAATCAAACTGGCAACCTCTTGGTGCATGGGTCGACGCTCAACCACTGAGCCACACTGGCTGGGCTTAAAATGCTTTAAACATGTCACCAATAAGTATAAGAAAGTTACCCTCCATCTCTTGCTTTCTGGATTTTTTTTACATGTTGTTAAAGTCTTTTATTCATCAGTTGAATTATTTGTTTGTTTTTTATTGTGAACAAAATCTACAAAATTAGTTCTACTCATGGGCTTAGTCGAATTGCAGTTTTTAAAAGTGATGTTTCCATTTCATTCAGGTGAATATATGAACTTTCTGAGATGCTTGACTGGGCAGGGTGTTGCCAGTTCCTGTGTAACACAGGTGTGACTGACCCATCTCATAGCCAGAAAACTGAGTCTGGGTTTCAGGTTGATGCTTTAGCTCTCCAGCTACGGGAGAATTTCCGACTGAGGGATGTTCCTCTTCCATGGAAACTGGGCGCCTATATGGGTCTCTCTCCAACCCCACCGTTCACTGTCCTACCTGGGGGTGGGGGAGTCTTTCAAGACAAGGAATCTTGGTACTTAATCCACTGTATTTTGACATAAGTGCACAGACTTTGACTCCCAACATTGCCCTTAATAGGGTCGATACGTTTTGGTGGATTTGAAATACACCTCAGAAGCACACAGTAGCCTTGATAAGACTCCCCGCACACTGAGGATTGCTAACATTATACTCTTGCAACAAGGGTCTGTTATACATTTTGTGCCCATCAGAGCACAAACTACACTTAGCCTCCAAGTATATCTTTTTCCCAGCCAGTAAGTGGTGACTATGGGCATGTCACTGACCAGCTGAGGTCCCCAGAACCCTGGTCCTCATTGTTGGGATTTCTGGGATTCTGTGCAGTCCAGATCTGAATGAGAAATATGGGAGAAACAATCACAGGTGGGTTCTCAGAACCCCTGACCTATTGTGAGAGGCCTCAGGCCTACATCCCTCTGCCTAGGGACCCAGAGCAGTGGGTCCTGGAGATGAGCAGACCAGAGACTGTGACGTGAGGGAAGCACTGATTGAGTGTCCACTGAGGCCAAGAGGCAGAGCGTGGCCAAGGCTTTACTCAGTCTCAGGGGCAAGGGCTCTCGGACTAACAACCCCGATCCCTACCATAGACTCAGTGAGGCAGTTGTACAGAAACTGTGCCTTTATTCCTGAAGCCCATAGCTTAAGCCAGGGCAGGGTAGGCCCTCCTCGCCTAGGAGGGTATCAGGCCCTGCTCGGTGGGCAGCTCGGGGTCTTTCTCCTCACTGACTCCAAAAGGCTTTGGGTTGGCCTGTGGGAGGTCAGGGTCTGAGATGGAAGTGTCCTCATCCCCTGTACCCACACCCTCCTTGAGGCCTGCCCTTCCCACCCAGTGACTGCCAGCCTCTATACCTTTGCCTTGGTTGTGCCCTGGCAGGAATGCCCTTCCCTGAAGATCATCCTCTGAGGACTCCCCGGGCCCCCTCCTTGCCTTCCCGCCCCCCAGTTCCTTTCACAAGCTGTCTCTGCTCCCTGCCACTTGATTCCAGGGCTCACAGCTTCTCCTGGGCTGGCCCCATCCTCCTGTTTGCTCTGGGCTTGAGCAGTGACCTGCACTCCAAGCTTTTCCAGTTCCTCCTTCAGCCTGGACAGAAAGGGATGAATGGGGGTTGGAGGAGGAAAAGGGACAAGAGAGCATGAAAAGACCAGGAGACAGACTCCCTCAGCTACCCTCCCCTTAGGGACTGGGGCGGGGCTCCATGCCCACCTCTGTCTCTTCTGCTGCAGCTGCTGGCACTTCTCCTGCAGTTGCTCATGGCGCTGGGCAGTGTTCTCCAGGAGCTCCTGGGCCCTTCTGGTCTCCTCCTCAAACAGATGCCTGAGAGTGGGGCCATCAGTGCTGGTAGCTTCCTCCCTCTGCCCCGTTCCCCCACTTTGTCCTTGTCTTACACTGCAGCTGCTGCCTCCTTGCTGCGGAGGAAGAGCCCCTCAGTGATGTCATAGCAGCCTTTGACCCCAAACTGGGAGCACAGACGATGCTTCACATCCTCCAGCTTTGCCTCCACCAGCTTCTCTGCAGCAGGAAGGGACAGATGGGCAGGGCAGGGCAGGGCAGGGCAGGGCAGGGCAGGGCCTCCCCATTCTCACCTTCTTTGAGCAATTGCTCCTTGCTGCTGTCCAGGGTGTCAATCTCCTGAGCCAGTTGCTCTGGCCTCTGAGGGGG